AGAGCTTGTTTTAGATGCTGACATGTATCTTCAGATACTTGGCTTCAGAAAAGCTGATTAGTTAATTCCTTAGATGTCAACAATAACAGATATATAAAAGTTAAAAATATTTTAAAACTTTAAAAACATAGCAGTTCACTCTCTATGTATTTAATGCATAACTTTTCAGGTCAGCTGTCTGTGGTCTAGCTTTTAGGTTTGTTAAAGACATTTTAAGGCACGGCCTCTCAAACTGTGCACACAGTCGAATAACCATTGCAACCATTTGTTACTGTGTTTTGTAGGGCCTTTACACGTGCTGTAGCCTTCAGGTTAAGGCCTTGCACGACTGTTCAGGTGCAGTTTTGATCTGTGTTTTAAGAGCATGTGAAAATCATGGCAACTCGCGTGTTGATTTGTGCGTGTGCAGCGTTGGCTACTCATTCCTCAGTCAGGGTTGCCAGAGCAACCTGAACTTTGGAATTTCCTCAGTTTTGAGTGCTTAACCTCGCCAGAGGTCATTGGAGCTGTTTGGGCTACTGTTCCAAAATATACTCTCACTATCCTAAGCATACTTTCTCACAGATAGTGGGGCTCTGAGCGCGGGATAGAGTGAAGACTCTGAGTCCTGTTTGTAGGACTGATGGATTCCTTCTGTAAACAGGACAGTACTGCAGAACCTTATGAAGCTGAGAGCACTGAGAACTTGTTTCCTAAACACTTAATGATCTTCTACAAAAAATAAGTGTTTAAAATTGTTTTACCTAAGACAAAGTTTTCCTTTCAATGTCCAAGTCAAACTGATTTACTGACCGATTTCATCTTTGACTTCCCTTGCCTTTCCAGAAAAACAACAAAATTAGAAGATTTCTTGAAAGTGAGAGTTTAAACTAATTTGAAATGAGTGAATATTTACAGTTTAACTATGCTACTTTAAATTCTTCATCTCTGACTACAGATAAACAGTTCTGTGAGTTTAAAACACCAAAAATTATGTCATGTCCTCGACACCCACACCAGTTTACCAGAACTGCAGTACTGGATTGCACCTGTGCAAAACAAAATCCACACATCATAGCTGTTTGTATTAGGTTTTGAGGAAGGATTGAAAAGAAACAGAAACGCAAATAGCTGCAGATACAATATGTAGCAAAGAAAGGCAGTTAAACCATGATGGCCATAACCCCATGGGATTGAAAATCTGAGGCACAAAGGTTCTTTTGTGGTTTGTATGATGTGATCTGTTTTTCAGTACATGAGAGAGTCAGTTGTTTAACCAATTTCTGAGACTTAAATTTAAACAAGTTTGAGATCTTTAAATTCAAGATTGTCTTGTCCACTGCTTCAAGGCAATGAAATTGATTTGAGAGTCTTTTTAAAAATCAAAATAGTGTAATCTTTATAAAATAAGTTGCCTTTATATCCTCACAAAATGAGTGCTCTTTTTTTCCCTATGCTTACAGAGACTAATTTTTTTTCATGAAATAATATTCATGTTACCAGTAGTTTACTACTGCTTACTACAAACAGTTATGAATTTTGTACTAAAAAGATGTATTGGTTGTCTCACAACACTGTTTTTCTTAGACTATGGGTTACACTGGCCCTAAATGCCTTCCTTTTTTACTTGTAATTTAAAAAAATAAAGAGAGAAAATTGATGCAAGTATTTTTTATTCTTTGTCTTTAATAAATGTGTTGACCCTGTTTTTCCTTTGCAATGGAGACTCAGCCTCAAACCTCCATCATAGCTGCATAATCCCTCTTACTTTTTTCACCAGCTGTAAGGCTGCTTAGCTTGTGTTTCTGGACAGGAGAGATCTTTTTGTTGTAGCTGTGTATGCAGTACCTAAATGTGCTGCACATCACAGCTCAGCGTCTGTAAGCATTTGGAAGGAATAAGTTTGAGTAATTACATACGTCATTTACATAAGAAATTAGAGGCAGTTTTTGAAAATTGTCTCAAAGATTCCACGTGTGATTGTACGTAGAGCTCAGTGGAAAAATCATCTGAGCTGCATGAAACTTGCATCTGAATGTGGTCATTAACGTTTCTAGGCTTGGAAATTTTTTCCTAGGGCTTCCTGCTAATCCAGCTTAATAGTTACTGTTCCCTGTAGTTAAAGATGTAAAAGCAGAGATTTGAGGAGAAGTTAATGTAAGCTATGATTCAAAACATACCGTTTGTGATGTATTTTGCATTACAGTATTAGAAGAAAGGATTGTGTGAGCTACCTCTTCACTCATTTGACAGAAGGCTTAGGAACGAGGACACTGAAATATGTCCCATCTAGACCTTACTACTAGTTTACATAAATTCACATTTTCAAGACTATCTTCATGAGAAAAAGAAAATTGTGCTTCAAAGAAAATTACACTTTGTAGTCTTGGAGGAGAGAGGAAGAACTTGGACAACCTATTTGCTCACTGAGTAAAAATTCAGGTAAAAAAAAGTTCTCTAGCAGTGTAATGATTAACTGAAAGGCCAGATAAAATATATGTTTATAACTTTATTCTAACCACTGTTGGTCAGATATCGAAATTGTTACTCTTGAGTATTTCAGCTTTATGGAAAGTCATCCTGACCCAGCATAGATGTAGTGTTTGGTTTTTGCTGTGGGGCTTTTGTTGTCTTTTGCTGGTTTCTGATCTAAAGGAGCCAGCAGTTTTAAGAAAATCTCTTTTTAACCACTGATGGTTGAGTTGTGCATTACCAGGATTTTTTTTTTTTTTTAAACTCAGCCAGTTTTAGAGCGAAAAGACTGAGGTGACAAGGAGGAATGCGGGGGATCAGAAGCTAATGTGCAAGGGAAAGTGAGAGATCAGACACAGTATCTACTGCTAAGAGAGATGAAAGTTGTGTGATGGACAAATGTGTAGAATATAAGCTCAGGAGAGTGGATTTTCAAACTGGCAAGCCTTTCTGCTTCTTTCATTATTTCTGCTTAGTAACTTATTTTTGTGGGCTACCGGGAGTGCTGTTTTCTGAATAGGTTATGTATTTGCCCAAAAGGAATGTTTCTTTGAAGCCATTCAGCTAATTGCAAGGAACTTTGAAATAAAAATGTGCTTTAATGGTCAGGGTGTAAGAAATGTGTAACTTAAAAGTTGTTTTCCTTTTTGTACTGCTTATTTTACTTTCTTCCTCCATATAATGTGCAGCTACATTTAACCTCCTGCATCCACTGTCTGTCTGGGGAAGCCAGAAGTGAGATACTTGGAGTGTTGTAGTTTCAACACTTTTTTTCCCCTTTCTTTCCTACTCCTCTAAAGTGGACATTTATGGTGATTAATTGTGTTCCAGTAGTACACTAGGAAACCATGGTGTTGAGTATTATATAAACATCATGACAGAAGATTCCCCTGTGTCCTGTTTATCCCTGGAAAAAAGTGAGGCACAGGAAGATTGTGACTTGCTCAAGAAAAAAATGAGTCTTTTTCCAAGAGTTCAAAACTGCACTCATCTTTCCTGAGCATTCTTCTTTTTTTTTTTTTTTTAATGAGTCTGCAAGGACATCCCAGTTCTTCCTGTCTGGTGCTAAAACTAATGCAAAAAAATGTAATTATTTACTCCTACGCACTTCTGTTTTTCAGGGTGTGTTCTTGTCCTTCTGGTGAGCGATACAGATCCTATTTAATATGAAACTACATGGAAGACAAATAGGAGAATCAAGCCTGTGATTCATTTGAATTTTAGCAGTAAACCAGGAAGCTTTCTGAATTAAAATACTGAGTTGAACTCTGATTTTCTGCATTTCCTTACCTGGTATAAAGTGCATTAATTGTTGCATTCAGAGGAGTTCATTTTCCATTTCATCTAGGAGAATGAAAGGTACTACATTAACGACCTATAGCAAACCAGTTTTAAAGTAATTTCAAATTTTCCAAAATGTGAGGCTGCTTAGAATTCTGCCACTCTGAACAGAGAGTTGAAAAGCCTGGGATAACTCAAGCATGCATATGGAGTATGCCCAGTCTCAGGGAATCACATAATTCCTGACTGGCCCTGCCTGTGCTCCAGCACTTAAGGATATTTACATTTAGAGAACGGAGTTTCTTAAGGGTGACCATTCTTTCACTTGCCAAGATTAAAGAATGTGAGTATATGTTGTTTTTCCTAGTGTTTTGATAGAGGCAAACCAAATAAAGGCATGCTGAAATGTCACTGAATCTTCCTATGGAGTTTAAAGTTATTTTCTGTAAATGTTGCCAGGAATGTTATAGTCATGATGATCTAAGGATGGAGGCAAGATAGGATACACAGTGAGACATTTAGACTGGTGAACAAAGATGTCACAGTGGCATGTATGGTACAGCTGTGTGTTTGTCTGTATAAACTACCTACCAACTCTAACTGAACTCCTGCACAATTTTTTTACATTGTATTTAGCTTAAATGCGATGGTTTTTATTTCATACCTGAAATGTTGTTTGTGAGGTTGAAAGTTTGTGCTGTTTTGTTTGTGTGGAGTTTCACTTGTTTGTTTCTCTCTTGTCTATAAATAAAAAGTACTCATATAAATAACATGAAGAGCTCCATAGCAGAATGCTCCTTTCAGTTTTTCCCATTCCATATCTATTTTAAATCCTCTGTTCACTGAAGGGGTAACTACCAAAGCTGATTATGAAATAACTTTGAATTCTATCCGCTTTTCTAGTGTTAAAGGTACTTGCTAAGCAAAAGATAGAAAAAAGTGACGTGGAGTTTTCCTAAAGAAAGAGTGAGAAAACTATTTGACAAGAACTAAAGCCACAATAACCAAGGAGGCCACATCTTTACAAGTGGCATCAATGCCACTTCATTAGTCAGTGCCATATTTCAATTTGTGTGCACATCTCTCAGAAAGTAAGTAGCGAGCCACCCTGGCTGAATGAAGGTTATATGATCCAGACGGCTCCTACACAATTTGGAAATCTGCTATTTTTAGTCACTAGAGTTTAACATTAATCTACATTAGGAACCACATAAACATAAACAAGCTGTCATGAGTGGCTGAGAGTATAGAAATACATAAGAAAATACCTTTTAACGAGCAAGTCCAGCAAAACAGTCAGTTGATCCTGTGCTCAAAAGGAAGTAATTCAGGAAGACAAGGTTGATTTACGAGGTGAGGTTATCTCATACAGCAGTCTTTGTAGCACCGGATATTAAAGAAACTTTATCTTGGACATGGTCTTAGCCAGAAATTAAGATGAGATCTTGCACTTGGGGTATTAAAATAAACTCATAAGCAGCGGAAGTCAACAGGATCAAAAGGAATATTTTGAGTCTGAGAAGAGGTTAAGATAATATGAAATACTTCGGTAGTGAAAATTAGCGTTGCTTTAAGAAAAAGTTAAAAACCCTACTACTGAGCCTTGCAAAACTTCAGAAATTTCTAGGGATGGTTGATTTTACATTGTTTAAAACAGTCAAACAAAAAACCAAGTGCATTGTGCAGTAGAATTCAAGCCACACAATTTTTTGCAAAGATCTGACAGAACACTTTGTGTCACTAAAACAGTGGTTGAAGGTATAACCTGGTTAATATTATTTAAATTTTCCCCAAACTTTGCGCAGAGTTGAGCATTCACAAAATGAGAGACAAAATATTGCCTTTGTTCAAAAACTGAGTGACATGGGGAATAACATTAGTATTAAATGATCAATTGGCATTTTGGTTAAAAGCTAATGTGGGTGCAGAAGGCATTTCAGGGTACTAGGACCCAGAGTGTCAGTGTATTCATGAGTTGTGTTTCAGGCTACATGTAAAATGAAACACTGGGTCCAAACATAGTTTGTAGTGTCTGAATCATGGTAGATAAATGACTGTAGCAGGCAAACTAACGTGGATTAAGGCAAAGCAGTGTGCATTCGAGAAGAAAACTTGAATTCCTTACACATTTATGCATCCCATTGGATATGTCAGCTCAGGGGGAAAAAAAAGTTAGTAAGTAATTTTCAAAGGCCCAGTGAAGATTTTTGTTCCTTTCATAACTAAGATGTAAATTATGTTAAACACAGAGGTAAAATGAAGAATAGTAAGGAGATTATTATAATACCCTTGTGTTCATCAATTATGTAGTCTTCTAATGAACACTATATGGATCCAGTGAAGTATGAATGATCAAAAACCTAAAAAAATCTCCATTAAGGTAAATAAAAGGGGGAAATGGGATGGCTTATGCCAGAGAGAACATGAAGACATCTGTACAACCTATTACATACATGAGGCAATGAATTGTAAATAAAAACTTTAAAAAGTAAAGCAGATCGTTTTCCACCTGACTAGTTCTTAAAGAAACAAAGGGATATTAAATGATACCAAGGTCTGAAATTCAGGACTGAGAAAAGAGAGTTCACTTTAATGTGCATCTCATTGAAACACAAGGTATTAAGACAGAAAGATTTAGAGATATTAGAATTTGTATTATTTGTAATCCTTCCATAAGTGAGATATGTTTTTTACTGTGCTTAATGTTGTTGAAAAAATAATATTGGTGCTGGAGGGCTGGCAGGAGGGAGGTTTTGTAATTTAGAGATCTTTTTGTAATTTAGAGAGCTAACAAAGTTTTATGTGCCATTTTTATTGCTAACTTCGGGTGGGTTGTTCTTTGTGGGAGTTTTAAACCTGCCCACAGTCATATATTTTCCTAGATCTGGTAACATGATCTATTTTGATCTAAGTTTCTTCCCAAGGGACTGCATCAGTTGTTCTTACATTGCTTAACACTGCTCTGTGTAGGGACTTCTGTGTAGCTGAGAAGTTAGTGACATCTCATGGCAACCGTGGAAAATTACAGGTGACTTGAGAGAAAGGTTTTGGCATTAACAGACATTGCAAATGTTTTCTAGGTCAAATTTCTTTTTTAATATGCCTGTACAACCCTTTCACGTTTAATTCTTCAGTGCTCGTGATTTATCCAGAGACTAATGCAAGTATTTCTAAGCCTGAAATACTGGTATTTGTCAGTGAGCATCTGAAGTCCAAAAGTTGTAGTGTGTAGTATCTGTGTATTTGTCACCTACAAAACAATTATATAACGTTATTGTCTCTCCTGGTTTTATTTGTTTTAGGTACAAAGTCAGCTACAGAGTATGCTAATGGTGGTTATGATATTGTGTCGCCCGCTCCGTCAGTGTACTTGGGCACGTTTCAAATTCTGCATCTCCTGGAAGATCTAAAGATGGCACTGGAAATGCTGGAGGATCCTCAGGAGAAAGAGGCATTGCGAAATCAAATTCCAGGGGCCACAGCAGTGTGCCTGCGGGAGTGGTTTGAAGAGAATCTGGTGAGTAGCTATTTGAGCTTTTCCATTTTGTTTGCAATGGAAACAATGGATTGGTTCAAGTATTTTCATATTACTGTTTTATGTGCTGATTACCAGAGCAATGCAGATGAGAAGTTGATAAAATACCTTATTTTGTCCTGGGTGAGGGAAAGGATGGTAAAAATTAACTACAGCAAAAGTTGCCTTTTCCGTGGGTTGTTTTTGGTTTGGTTTGCTTTGGTTCATTCTTTGCTGGAGATAACAAATTTATAAATAGTTAGAAAACTTTTAATTGTTAAAGTATCAATTTGGAATGCAGTGTTATTGTCTGTTGAAGGACCAAATTCAGACTGGATGATTCTCCTGTCCTTTCCCTTAACTGTTGGTATTACAAATCTCCAAAGTATCTTGTACACCAGGCAGAGGTGGTAAATCCAGGAACGCTCTTGATTCTGCAGGTGAGACATTCATATAGGGATAGATGGGGAATAAACATTTGGCTGTACTGGGAAAGACTGAGGCTTACCAGGTGAGGGGCAGATCTTCAGACAGACCTCAAAAGCAGAGGGACATTATGGATATAAAGGAATAGAAACAACAGGTCCTGCCACAACACCAAGCCTGACACTGCAAGTGAATGGTGGTGTTCCTCATGTGTAAAAGCTACTTTTCATTGTCTCAGCATCAGAAAAGTTATCTAGATGAATGGATTTTCTTCTGGTTTTGTCTGTGGATGTGACCTTTTATGTAATTTTTCCTGTGGCTTATGTTTTAGTGTTTATCTTCTGATGTAGCTGCCCTGTGTCAATTGTAACCTGATGTTGTTGGAAATGTAGTTGCTTTTGTTTGAACTTGTCAGCTGCTGGTTTGTTGGCATTCTTCACAGAGTGCAGGTCTGTGGCTGGAAAATCCTGTTTGGGTCCATATGAGAGAAAGGAATGAGAATTTGGTACCATGTTTGAAAACAAAAGGTGTAGGCAATGTTTGATTTGGATTTATAGTATTAGCTTTTGGATTTAGATATCCTTAGGCCAGCTCTTATTGAATTCCTGCCTCAGTAGAAATGTTTATGTTTATTCAAGTCTTTACAATAGCTAAAAAATGTTTTTAATGCATAAAAGACATAAATTTTCAGAGTTGTTCACAATAAATTTAGGCCTAGACCACCAAGTTGAAGAGTTTGAATCTGGTAATCTGGCTTTTGGTCTTCTGGTGCAGAAATATTAAGCTCACCTTGCAGCCCTGCAACGTAGGTACCCTTTGATGCTTTGACTTCTCATATTAACTATATATGTGTGTCTCTTCTATTTCATGGGTAACCAGCCAAAACAGAAGACACAGACTTCTGCCTTTTAGACTTGCAGTTTACTGATGTCCTAAAAGCCTTATCTGCTGCATCAAGGGTAGTATTTGTTTGATAAAGCAACTGGGGAGTCTGGATTCAGAGCCAACAGAACAGGGGAAATTGATGGCATGGAGTATCTCTAGTGCACTGAGATCACTGTTTTGAAAATATTTTGCTGTGTTCTGTGTCAAGGAAGGGAAGGGCACAGCTGCTGTGACTGTTATTTGAAAATGGATAGTAATCTGTGTATTTGTAGAGCTTTCTCAAATTTTTTAAATGCAAATAATTTGTAAGTGTGCACATAACTCCCGTGACCTTTGAATTTGGGAGAGCTTTCTCCACTGACAAGCTCCAGTTCCACCTGGAAATTGGGAAGAAATCTGGTAAAATTTAGGTCAGTTCAGTGAAATGGAATATGTATTTCATAGTTATGTCCCATACTGAAATTTTCTTCATTCCAGCCCAGAGCTATGAAACATGACACTAACTATGTGGATAAGGACAGGTGAGGTAGTAAGCTGTAGAGAATGAGAACTCTGTCTCCATTAATCCATTCACATTGGAAGCCTCAAATGAAGTTTGGTAACCATTACTCTGTGAAATGCAGAAGTGCCATTAAATAAACCTCACTCAATTCCCATGGTTTAAACATATCAGGATGGACGCAGTTTGCCAATTTATTAAAAACATAATTAACTAGAGATCAGGAAACTATATATTTAGGACCAACATCAGCAATACATTAGATAAACCGTAATACTAGATGCTTAAGAAATGTTAAGGAACACCTACAAATTTCTAAATGCAGCCCTAAAACTAATTCCAAAAAGTTAAAATCCCACAGACATGCGCACACATGTTCACAGTTACACATTTCCTCTCTCACAGCTGGTGTTGGTTACAAGCATGAACAGCCTTTTCTGTGGATGTAGATTCCCCTATTTTTCACATATCTCCTCACATATGTGGGTGCTTTAGCTTTTGTGTGTACCCGTGGAGTACTGATGCCTTTGAGCTTTTTTTTTTAGAGCTATTGCAGATTGGTGTCAAAAATATTCCCCGCTTATAGTGGTTAGGCATGCAGTGGAAACTAAAGAGGAAAAAAAGCAATCTGATGTTTATTTTAAAAGCAGATAAGCATGCTTCATTCAAGAAGAGAGTCTTATTTTATGATTCTTCTTCACTTAAATGTGTAATTAAATATAGTATTAAAAAAATTGTTGCACCTGCCATTGTTAATGAAGAGTACAAACAATGTGCCTTATGGAAATAATTTGAGTATGTGTTTTGCTACTGCCCCATATTGCTTTTATGGGAAACCACAGAAAGGGAAGTCAGAAAGATGACTTGAGACTCGTTCCTGCTGGATAGTATCAAAGAGCAGCATTTAACAGCATTTGGGTTTGAGCAGAATATGGAATTACTGATCAGTCAGGAAGTTTCTGTGATGATTATAGATGCTAGAGCT